AAAGAGAGAGAGCGAGTGTGTCACACACACACACACACACACGCGCGGTCTCTCCGTACAACACTCAAACAGTGGCAAAGTTTTTTTATTTTTTTTTTAAATGCGTGATTTTGAACAGATGTAAACAATGGCAGGAGGCTTAAAAGTATAGACGTGATACCAGCTAAATTTAATTATTGTACTAAATCGCAGAAAAGTAGGCTACAGTACGTACTTTAGACTGCTATTCCTCACTCTGTGAAGTAACGTGAGGGAGGAAACTAGTTGACGTTAGCTAGTTAATTAGCCATGTTATCTGCCTCGGTAGCAAGCCAAATAGTATTTATTTCAACACTGAAACAAACGGCGTGTGGGTCTCTGTCTTGATCGGGGGTGAAAGAGGGAGAAATGAAGATGACACAGATATATAGTTTATGTTCGACCTGGAAGTATTTATTTAGCGATCGGAGCTAAAACGTCATCTGTACGGAACACCGTTGTGTACGGAACATGGTTAGTCTACGTTACCCGAAAAATTCCCATACGACAGACTTCGTCTTTTTCGATGGGGGAAAAAGTTCCAGGGATTCATCTCCTTTGGCCATCCTACACACAGGTGACTCCACTCGCACCAACTGGAGGGGGAGGGGTCGTGTGACTCGCTACGCTCTTCGCTGCACACAACTGAGGGAGTCCTGCACTTTCCGTCTTTGACGACACGTAAAAAAAACTGTGCATACCGCAGGAACGGTATAACGGGAAATTTTAGTGGTTTTGAAACCGTGACTTTTCCAAACCGCGGTATACCTTGAAACCGGTTATCGTCCCATGCCTAGTGGAAGCAGATATTTCTTGAGACGAGGGGGAAAAAAAAAGATCGGATAGGGAAAGCTCTGGCTTCGTGTGGACGTAGCCTAAGTCAGACTGTGGAAAAATGGATGGCAAAATCATCCGTTCTTCACAGATGGGCACTGACTCAAACATGACCAACTCTTAAAAATCATACTGAATGACACAACATGAAAATACAACAAAACAACAAAGTACACCGTGTCATCCTATCCTATTTGGACAAGGGAAACCTCATCTAGGATGTCTGTCTAATATCTAGGAGGCTCGTTTAGAATCTGGCTGGAGTTCAAACCTTGAAAGGAGGTCTACGGCTGTAAACACTCTAAAGTGTGAAACGACTGAGGACAAGCTGCTCTTGACATTTTCCAGTGTCCGAATGGAAAAATAAAATAAATAAAAGCAGCACATGGCTAATCTGCATAAGATAAAGTGTGGGCTCCCTTGACAGGAGAGGCTGCTGGAAGGACGCTGTGATTGGCCATGGGGGATGGGGTGGACACCAGAAGACTGAAGGCAGGACGCCATTCACACGCTGCAGTAATCATAACTCTGTCTAAGATTAAATAAAACGTAATTATAGGAGAAAGTTCAAAGCTACATCAAAATGAATCTATTAAGCCAATATAATTAGTAACCAAGAAGTTCTGTACAAAAACTAAAAGACCTACATTACTTTTTGGAGTCAGTACGTTTTTTTTTAATTAATACTATTATTTAGCAAGGACGCATTAAATTGATCAAAAGTGACAGTAAGTACTTTTATAGTGTCATGAAAAAATCTAAATGCTGCTCTTTTGAACTTTTTAATCACAGAATCATATTATCACAATCATAGTATCACAATTTCCATAAAAATATAAAGCCACACAACGGTTTTCAACAATGATAAGAAATGTTTCTCGAACATTATATCAGCTTATTAGAATGATTTTTGAAGGAACATGTGACACTGAAGACTGAAGTAATGGCTGCTGAAAATTCAGCTTTGCCATCACAGGACTAAATCACTTTTTAAAATAAAAAAAGAAAGTTATTTTAAATTGTATAGTATAATTATAAATATTAGTTTCTACTGATATTGATCAAATAAATGCAGCCTTTGTGAACAAAACATAAAAAACTTTTTTTATGAAAAAACTTTTTTCCCAAACTTAAAGTGTTTTAGTTAGTGGGATTGCTTGCATCACATGGTTTGAAAACCCAATCAACACATTTTAATGATGACACCGGACATATTTGGGCCCATATATACAGATGATGTGGAAATTCTAAGGACCAAACCATCAAACAATATTGCAGATCTTCACTGCCTGTAAACTCACAGATCATACTTCAATTCGACAAGAACTTCCCTTAATGTAAAGCGCTTAGAGTGCCTAGAAAAGCGCTATATAAAATTAATTTATTATTATTATCATTATTATTATTAAAAAGACATTAAAAAAAGCAATCCCATAGAGACCCTAATCTTGCTAACGAAAAGGAACTATGTTCAGATTTTAAGAAAGAGGCAGAAAAACAGGTTGAAATTCTGGTATAAAAATCTTTTTTTTCCCAGAGGTTCTCATTTCACAATCTCATAGTTATTAATGAATAAAACTTTAAAACAAGAATAAATTAAAATAAACAAAATCTAAATAAGAAATTCTAGGCCAAAAGGAAAACTTGCAAACCAAGTTTCAATCCCCTTATCAGATGCAGTTTGCACAGCGACAAAACTGAAGCACATGCAGCCTCAACCTAGTATGATAAACTAAGTTAACTGTGGTAAACAGATGTTGTTCAACCTTGAAATTGCACTTAAAAGTGTTTGGACATATCCAAGACAAACAATCATGATAGGCACCACATGAACAAGCATTTAGCATGCAGAGAATGACCAGACAGGAAACAGTGCATAACATCATACTGTAAACAACTGGCATGAATTAAGGAGAATTCAAAAAGATTTTCTCGCTCAATATCCAACAGGCTAGAGAAATAAGACACAGGCTATTCAAGTGTCTTCAATAACAGAAACTTCAAAAACGAACTAAAGGTTCCCAGTTGATGAGTGACATGAAACCAGTTTCCAATCACAAATTGTGCTGTTATTGACATTCTTTGAATCAAATCTGCAAAAATGTGTATTTTATTCCCCTGTATAATAAAAAAAGAGGACTTCCACACATTGAAAGAGTGAGGGAGGTGAGCAACATGAGCTAATCAGCAAGTGTTTCAGTGTTACATCATATGCAATTATAAATGGCCAAGAGCACAGGATGCAGAGCCAATCAGATCTCAGCGAGCATGTCAACCCAAGACCAACTGTCTCCTGCCTTTGACAGGAGGATTTTACCTCCACAATTCAAATCCCACTGCAAACCAATCTGCACTTACTCAAATCACTGGGCTTGTGTTTACAAGCTGCGCGCACACAGACCGACATTCAATTGAGTCCACGCTTTAAAAACGACGCTTTTCCTCATCAAATGTACTAGTAACGTCCTTTTAAAGCGTGTTTAAATACATTTTCGACCAAAATGAGGATAATCAGCATATGTTTCTCTACTGTAGAAGTGTGACACTCACGTATCGGTTTACACAAGACGGGTTTTTCCACTTGAAATATCCGCTAATATTATGTTAATCACTCTCCTAATTAACATCAGAACTGACAAACAACACACCAACAGGCTAAATATCACATATTAGATAAATATACAGAACATTAAAGCATATATAACACACAGAAAGGCCTATGAGGGAAAAGCGAAATGCGTTTAAGCCTTATTGGTGGAGAAGCAGCCTGAGCTAAATACGCATTTTCAATCGGAGATCTACCTTCAACTCCAGCAATAATAGGCAACAGTTTTCATCTCACAACACAAGTCCAGCCACGAAGCTTGCGGCTTTTGGAAAGTTTCGTTATTTTAACTAAATATAAGCAGTAAAGGCATGAGCTGCTATTGAAAACATAGCAGGCAGCCATTTTATAGTCTCTTGCTCAGACAATAACGTTAGCTAGCACAGTGTGTTTCAACCACTCATATGACTTGAGCAAAGCGAGAGAGAGGCCGTTTTCAAGGGCAATGGGGTTGTAATTTTACCTGGTTTCTTCCCAGGGGCTGCCCGGTACTTCCAGGACTCATGGGTGGTGGGTGATGGGTCCTTTGTTGCCAACCCGGATGGCCCCCACCGTACTGCCCGCCGCTGCTGCCCATATCTGCTGGTCCCTTAGCACCGTCCTGACCGCTGTAGTCGCTCGGCGGGTAATTCGCGTAACCCCGGGCACCGCTCGGTGAGGTGAGGAGCTGGTTGAGAGTCGGGGTGGATGTAGGCTGCGGGTTTCCCATGTTATACCGCTGATTGCTGTAAGATGCAGTCGCTGCTGGCTGCTGCTGCTTGGCTGACTGCCCCCCTACTGCCTGGGCTTGAGGAGCGCTGCGCGGAGAGTTCATGCCGTAGCTCTGGCCCGGATACGGGCTTCGGTTCCCGAACGGACTGTAGCTGTTGTACTGGTGGTTTGGGAAGCCGTGGTCGTGGGAGTTGGGCTGATAGGGGTCCATCATGCTGCTCGACAGCGCGCCTGGCCCCGCTGCAGCTGCCATGCCAGGGCTTTGTTGTCCGCCATGTTGATGAAAAGGGGCCCGGCCGTAATGCTGCGCGTAGCTATAGGAAGCGGGCTGAAACCCGGGCGCGTGATGGAGTACCATCCCGGGGTGGTTGTTCCCCTCCGGTCCGGTGGTCTCATTTTGATTATTGTTCACCCTTGACGGATTCCCGTTGCCGTTCTTCATCTCCGACTCCCCTCCTCCCCCAGCATTTCCCACATCGGCCCGGTCCTGCAGTTCCCCGCGAGCCGGAGATCCGCTTTCGAGTCCCGGCTCCTTATTTTCCTGCTGCTTCTCCCCCGGTACCGACTCCTCCTTTGGGTCTCGATCCGGTTTTTTCAGCTCGGAAGGCGGGCTGGTGTTGAGAGAGGTAGCGCTGGCGACCTGAGCGGCCATGATCCCCCCCTCTCCCTCTCGGCGAGTCGGTCACAATCAAACGCGAACCATTGAATGTAAATACAATAGTTTTACAACAATTTACCCGTGTCCCGACTCATCCCCACTCCTTACGCCGGACCGAATCCGGGCTCCACCGTCGGCTCCGTTTTTTAGACTCTCTCGCACCGAGTTCCCTGTAAATGAAATTTAACCGACACGGAATTTGTGGGGGTTCTGTTGCAGAAGTAGACTATAGCCGAGGAACAGATCACACCAGCACGAGGCTCACTTAGATACGGCCATTTTACCGAGGTGCGCTGAGAGCAGTAAAACATGGCTCGGACTCTCTTCGGAGTGCGGAATGGATTCAGAGAAGGGGGGCTGGGTAGAGGGGGTGTTAAATTGACGTTGCATAACGGCAGGGTTGAAAACTGCTCCTCGAACAGATTTTGGTGGGAAAACTGGCTGGAGTGAACTGAATGAAATCATATAGCCAGACATTAGGATTGCATTATAGTTGCATGCAGTCTCTCCATGAAGTAAGCTCGTCTTACTGGTTTTGCTGTTGCACTGCCTATAAAATACCAAAGTCTGCACACACACACCTACTTCACTTTCAACCTTAAAATTGGCTTATAGAATAATTGTACATATTGTTGTACATATTGTAGGCCTACATAAATATAAATTCTGTTTTGTATGTTATATGTAGTGTATGAAGGCCTATGCCTGGGGTTGAAGAGGTTGATTTTTGACTTGCCTGGTTAAATAAATGTTAATGAATGTATCTAACATCCCATGTTTTAGGTCAGCATTACATGCATTTTGACCATATGCATGTGTAGAGAATAAATATAGGATAGTAAAATATTTTTTTTTTGTTATGTCTTATAGCTTATATATTCAACTTTTAAATTGAAGGAGAAAATGTTTCTCATATCTTTTCACGCTGTGTGTTTGGTATTTTGGTACAAATTCATCTGTCACTTGGTAGACGCTGGCCTAAATAGGCATATGCCAACATCTTGGTAAAACTATGCAAGGTAAAATGAAATACGCTACAGGCAACGTTAAATACAGATTATGTGACTGTGGGGGTTTAATCATTTTAAAATAGCAAATTTTGCTTTTTAGCCAAAGTTATATTCATTAATTTCATATAGTAGGGCCTATACATGCATTTATCAATACATTTCGCTAACAGATTTGGCGCGGCGTTGGATCAGTCAAACCGATTGAGAAACACTGTTTTAGGGGGTTGTGCTGATTGAAATGCGTTAGGAAAGTAAGAGAAGGGAGGGTTGGTTGTGGGTTGAGCTAGTCTGCAAGCAGGAAGTGAAAATAAAAAAACGAGAGGGAGGGAGAGAGCACGAGTAAAGAAGAAAATCAGACAAACACATGGACAAACCACACAAAGTGGTTGAAAGGCAGAATACATTATCATCACAAAATAAGCCCATCTATTTATACTGTGGTTCAGTTTGGAATCTAAAAAGAGATAGAGAAAGGATCTCTGGGGAAAATATCTTTTTAGGAGAATAACACACCGTCTCTCGTTCTCTGCTCTCCCCACCCCCCTCTCTCCCTGCCTGCCTCTCCCTCCAGCTGAAGCTTTGCTGCCTGCAAAAGCAGCACAACTCTGCTTTGGTATCTCAGTATGGGGGATGGGCAGAGCAGCACAGCGCACAACCTTAATGCAATGCAGAGCCAGTGTCCTGTGAAGTAGGGAGATTCTCCCTGTCACTTTTTGACAGCATGTTGAATCTGGGAAATGTATTTCTCCCCAGTGAAATGTATATACATTTCATCTTACAGCAAAGAATATGGAAATAAAATAAATAATTTATTGGAGCTGTTATATAGCGTTTCATATCTTTGATTTGGAGATCCAACATCTCTTTGTTCAATATTTGAAAGCTTTGTCGGTCAAAATGAGGAGTGATATTATCTATATATTTATAAATATTTGGTGGGGTATAATACATCTAAATATTGATAGCTTAAATATAAATGATGATGTTATTTTATACAACAAATAAGCAGAGATAAAGGAATGTATTGTAAAAAAGTTAATTATTAGAGCTATATATATATATATATATATATATATATAATTAATTATTAGAGATATATATATATATATATATATATATATATATATATATATATAATCCAAAAATGAATTTATAATACTATATTAATGAAATAACTATTTAGAGTTACATTAGCAAATCTTCATTTTATGCCTTCAGCAAATGCTTTTATCAAGTACTTAATTTTTTTATATTTTCTGTTTTCATTGCAAATTTAGTTACACTTTAAGTAATTTTGTTATGTTTTGCCATTTTATTACAGTTTTTGTTCTTTTTTAAATATGTCTGTATAGTTTAAAAAAAAATCGTTTTTAAGATTTAGATTTAGTTAAATTAGCACTTCAGGCTAGACTAACCGTAATGAGAAATGTTGCCTCGGTAACTAGCTGAAATATATAGCTGAAAATAAGTATTTTTTTATTTTAGCTGTCATTCATTTTATGTCAAGTAATGATAATATTTTGCTATGGTTTTAGTTAACAACAATAACCCTGATTCAAGGTATACATTCGGCAGTATTAGTATTCCGTGGGAATCAAACCCATGACCTAGGTGTTGCCAGCATCATGATCTAGTTGAGCTACGAGAAAGCCAATCAATACAAAACACAAATCAGTCTTGAACTGTGATATTTACTGTAATGTAAAATGTCCACATAGTGAATATTTAGATGGTAAATCTTAACATTTGTTTGTAGAGACAACAATTAATTAAATCCAATAAACTGTGCTAAATAGTGAAAGTTTAATAGTTGTAGATTTTATGTTATCCTTCTCTAAATGGCATGAAATTATATCATTTTAAATACTCTGCTCCTTGCATAAAATTACTGAGAGAGAATGAAATCTGGAAGACATATAATGATTTTGCTGAGATTTCCAAGTGAAAAAATGAAAGCCAAACAAGCGGCTTTCATCTGTCCTTGTTTGTCAACAGTTTTAATGAGGCAGAGTACAAAGTATGGCACATTTTCTGTGTAAACAAAACCATGTGTATTCATTTCAAACCCTTTCATGACCCTCAGTGCGCCAATAAGCCACATGTATACACTGCTGGTAAAGGGAGGAAACCTTCATTCAATCAGAGTTTCATTCAATCCCTTGTTTTCAGACACACCCCCACATGGGAATCCATAAAGTAGCAAGTGCAGACACAAGGAAGTTGGTCCTCAGCCAGCAGGTTGCTGGGCAGCTGTCACACACACAAAATTACTCTCTGAAGTGTGCTAGGGAAGGAAGTACCACTCCAGAGAGCCATAGGAAACCATAACTGGGGCATAATCGTGTGTTTGGCACACACTCGTGACATTCATAACAATAAAAATTATATGTTTATGGTGACATCATTTGCCTGAGGAAAAACTACGGAAACTCTGACTTGAAGTTCAATTTCAAACAAATGCTTGAAAAACAACAACAAAAAAACATTAAAAAAAATCTTGTATGTATGTGTATATATATATTTACACGCCATACTCTATATGCCATACGACTTACATAAACACATCATATTGCCTACTTTTTCAAATTTTGAGGGAAACTTCCAAGGATTTTATGTGGCCTACAATATATGTATAATATCTGAGGCAAATTCAATACTACAACCCTAACCAGCAAATTACACAATTTTTTTATTGCACCTTTGTTCTAAAATTTGCAACAATTTGTGTCACTGTCAACTTTATTTTATTTGAATTTCTTTTGTCAACAGAATTAAAATATCATGAAATCATAGCTCTGAATAGAATGAAACTGAGGAAAATAACTGAATAAATAAACACTTTACTATTTCTTTGAGTATAATAGCCATACACCAAGTAGTTCCTGTCACACTGAAAACATCTAAACTTATTTTATCACCCTAAATGATGCCTAGAGCAAATATAGTGCCAAGCTTGCACATACTCAGACCCTGTAAAGCAGAAACAGATTTCACATTGCCAACTCCATTCCTTGTCTGCCTCCTGTTTTTACCCTGCAGATTCGACTAAAATGTGGACTGGATTATGAACTGACATGGATAACGCTCTCTAACACATGAGGTTCTGATGACATATACACCGTGGAATAGCGCAGTCATGTTTGTGCACTAATTACAAGAATATTATAACCTTCACATTCTCTATAAACGTATATCGCAGCATATTTAGTTATATTTAAATGTCCCCAAGTCATCTTACTGTCACAAGCGTTTTTAGAGTGCAATATGATCATCGTAATCCATTCCGCGTTTTCCACAATTCTCAAACCGAGTGCGCTAAGAGGCGAAGCACTTCTTTCTGGTTCCCGGAATACTTCCGTGGCTCGCACAAGTATGTGTTAAGGTGAATGTTGTGGAGATTTATTCCTGAGGGATGCTGTGGCACTTTCATATATAAGCTTAAATGACTAGATCATATTTAACTAATATTAGGAAGAAAAGCATGACCACAAAGACAAGTTAAACAAACACCGAGCACTAACATAGTTGTCATGTCTCCCTTTCGTGTACAATGCATTCCCGTGTTCCTCCGCGAGTGAGAAGGCCTTTTCAAGGTCCAGACTACTTATGATGGGAAAGGTGTTCCGGCTCGATAAAGGTTATCTGCCACAAGTTAGCAAATTACGCGCTATGTATCAAGAGAGCGGAAAAGAAAACACGTGTAAACGAAAAAACAAACAAAAAACAGAACCTTTATGTACTGTTTTACAAGGGTGTAGCAAATAATAAAAACCAGCAGCGTTAATTGATTCCCTTTTAAATGATCCCCAATTTCACACATTTAAGCACGTCAATCATTTGTTAGTTACTTTAATGTTTCATTTGCCGTAAACTGTCTCTAATTCGGTCACACTTTAGGCGACTGCAGTTTTTCCAAATTCAGTGATAAACGAGGAAACGCCGACTACTATATTGTGTGAACACGGAGCCGTTACGATAGTGACCTCTAGTGGCGATACTCTCCACTGCACTCACACACTGATCAATAAGTTGTTCAGAGGAAGTTAATTAATCTATTTACGCATGACATATTTCATGCTCAAACACTAAGATGCATGTCTACGAAACCCAAAACAATCATTCTCAGTTTCCTTCTATCAGTGCAACTCAAGATGAAATAAGGAGATTTAGTTTTACTGTCGACAAACAGTACCTTGTTTAGATAAATAAGCACATTGTTTCTTAGATACAGAACAAACAAAACAAGTCTTTATTACAAAATAAGAATTAGTGTATTGTTTACCTTGTAAAGTCACATCTGATACAACGAATTGTCTAATTATTGCTTATGTAGAAAACATTTTGCAATGCATGTGTCTAAAACGACTGTTTTAAGCGTTT